ATTAGCCTGTAGTTGTCTACTTTGCTAGTGTCGCCGCCTTCCGGAATAAGTTTCACCACCAAACATTTCCAGTCAGTCAGCAACAAACCTTCGGATAGAGACTCGTTATAAAGGTCAGTCACGATAGGAGAGATGATGGCCGAAAATGACTTGGGAATTTGTGGGTGAAGCCCATCAGGTCCGGCAGCTTTGGTGCCATCAAGGTTGGCGAGTAGTTGACCTACTTCTTCAACGCCGCAATCCAGACTGTGGAGTTCGGTAAAAGCGGTACACGTCGAACTCGGGACAGATACCTGGTCATTTGCAAATATAGAAGCGAAGTGCGCCGCCAACGCGGACGCACGCTCAGTGCTGGAGGTTAGGGGCTGTCCATCACCTGCCGGCTTCAGGCATCGCTTCACGTATGCAAAGATTCTCTTTGAGGCAGTCTTTGCGGCGATTGCGAGCTGCTCTTGGAAATGTCAGCGCTTATTCCTTTTTGCATTGTTTCAAAGGTTTTGCTGATTTTTATACCCTTCGTAGTAATTGGCAGAGCCAGAGAGAAGGAATTTGTCCCACAGTCTGCACCGCCTCCGAGCCAGATTTTCACACTGCTTGTCAAACCAATGTGGCTTAATCGGTCCAACCTTCCGACATTTCAATGGCACAGATTGGGAACACAATGATGTCAATCTCGCTTTTATGAATATTCAACAGTCTTCCACAGGTATAGCTTGTGACAAAGTCCAATCCAGTTGGCTCGCGGCCCGAGTTAGACCACCGAAGTCCGTTTTCCAGAAGTTGTGAGCTGGTTCCAGCGGTCGTGAATATGGCAAAGACAATTCCGTATTAGCTATGAGCACTGAATGGTCGTTTGTAGCCAGGGGCTCCAAGATCCTAACGTCACGCACTCGTTGTTTGTAGCTCGTTAACATCAGGTCGAGACAGGACGGGGTTGATCGTGTTGTTATGCGTGTTGGCTGGTATATGTGTTGCGATGCACCAGTTTCAAGTACCAAATCCACGAACTTTGCTTCAACCTCACTGTGTCCAGGCATCAAATGCACATCAGGCCATCGTATTCGAGGACAGTTAAAATCGCCCACAAGTAGAAAGTGTGGACGACTCATGTGGGTTCGAAGATGGGGCAGCCAATCTGAACAGTGACTCAAGTGGTTCTCCGCGCATGAGGTGGATAGAGCACCACAGTAGCTCACACAAATCATCGTCTCTTCGGTAGGCGTTCACAAGTCTCCCACGCAGGGAAGACCGGATGTAAAGCAAAACACCACTGCGGACATTCGTTAGTGTGTCGCATTGGAAGCACGATTAACCGTTGAGCTCAAATTCTTGTGTGTATGACTGAATGCAGCCATGTCTCTGAGAGTCCCACTTCGTCTGACGGCTCAGATGCAACGAAAGAACAAAGCCCATCGCGCTTGTTCATAACACTGCAAACGTTTGTGTCGTCGGCCGCAGCGGGAACCGGCGTGGGTGCTTGAAGTGTGAGCAGCCTGTTTATCCTGATTCGCAGATTGTTAGAAACCACCCGAAAATTTTCGACATGAAGTTTTTCCCTCCTCTCTAGTGCTTCTTTTCAGCTGAATGATGGCAGATTTAAGCCGCTCCCTCTATTGGTCCAGGTCTGGACGAAAATGGGTCTTCAAACCTTTCAGCCTACTTAGACGGGACATGATCAGTCTTGGACTGGCGTCGTCCACAAAAGGGATTCTCATAGGCCGATTTTGTTGATCACCTTGCTTTCCAAGACGGGTAATTTGCCTCACTTTTACCGAGTCCCCCTCAGCGTCGAGAAGTCTGTCAATTAGAGTCTGTAGGAACTCGACATCGTGATCGTAACGCACACTTGGGGTGGTGGATCACTGGACTCCGGCTCGTGGAAGATCACTAGGTTATAATGCCTCTGGTGCGACGAGGTTGACCTTGCAGGGCGAACTATATTACCAGCCTTACGTGGTTTGTCTAAATCTAGACTTACAGAAGTTAAACGCCCAACATCCTTTCGCAGTTTTGTTCTTTGTTCTTTCCGGACCAGCAACACAAAACGATTAAGAGCTGCGGTCGCGTTTCGGACCTCAGCCTCCGACGGAGCCTCTAATCTAATCGGCCATGGTTCAGTTTCCAACACCTGAGTTGGAAGAGGTCCAGAGGCTCAACCCAACGTGCCATACGGCGCTCCTTCTTGTGAATCAGGGCACCGGCGCTGTCTCAGATAGTCTCGCGGACACCTGGTTTTTTGGGGCCGGTGGTGCGGATCAGCTTAAGGGCTTACGATAATTGCCTACTGCCCCCCGCTTCCGCTATTTCTTCAGCTCTACCGGCCCACCACAATGGCTAGTGGCTTATTGTGGATTTATTTGAGACACCATTTGTGTGTATGTTTGGTTGTATCTGCGTCTCTATTTACTTTGGACCATGTTTTTGTGCGTTCAATCACAAGGACCGAGCAGATGGAGATTCGCGGTCCGCATTCTGATTGTGTGTTGCTGTCTATCGACACCACTGGTGTTTCAGCGAGCCAACAACGGTGTCATTGTACTTCACACTGTTCTTTGTCCACTTTCTTTGTTGCGCTTTTGTCTACGCGGTTTCTTTATCCATGGGTCTGCGGTTTCGTCACTCGGGGTGATATGTGCGCGTCCTCCGAGTTTCTCCAATGTAGCCCTTGGACTTGGCTCTTAAGAGGCCTTTTTGATAAATAGTATCCTCCTTACTACCGGTTTATATACTACAACCTATAAGAAACAATGGTGTTGCATGCCACATCTGTCCATCCACATGCGGACATCTAGGTGTATGTACAACATATTTGTTCGTCATAGAGCCTCTGCACTTTGTATGAAAACTGGTTCGTTTGACGTTACTGTGGACCTTAATCTACTGACTTTGGCTTCGCGGTGTTTCTTTGGAAAACATGCTCATTTCTCACGTACAATGTATTTATTGTTTTATTTGTGATATTTTCGCTATTTTCATCCGATTTATTTCTGCCTGCACCTGACTATCGTTTCGGAGACAGTGTGTCAGCAATTTCAACGATCCCGCGATGTTTCCTCCATTCGATCACTGTATGCACCATTACTTAGGCACTTCATGGCTGTTCATGTAGATACCATACTTTAAACCATTGTGATGGAAGTACGATATCGTTGAAGTGGAGCTAAAGAAATGTCGGATATGGGTACATAACTAAGATTAATGATGTTGATATCTTCATATTACTATGCTAGCAGTGAGTCTTACGAGGTCAAATGCAGCAGCCTCGTGTTAAACAGTGTTTAAAGTCACTCACTTTGTCATTTCCTCTACCGGGCACCATGGGCCATCATCCAATCTGGTACAGTATCGACAGCCGAGCTAATTCTAGGAAACTGGTTATCCTGTCCCCTTAAAATCGTTGCCAAGCCAACACCGAAATACCCGTTTTATCAGCGTCTCCCCGAGTTTGCATACATTAGTCGGCAGTCTTCCGTGTTCCTCACTCAACTGTTCTGTAGATGTAAGTTGTGCTTCCTAAGGGCCATTGACCAAAGCAAATCTCTGACACTGTTTCTCCATCTTTGCTCTTTGCATCACTGTCCGGACGCCTCAACGTTGTGTTCCATGTCCTTGACTAACAATCCGGTCCCATCCATTTCTTTAAACATAATAAAAAAGTTGTAGAACCACGCCACTTTAATTGGATGCACAGCATCCCCTTCGATGATTTGACTACAACACGTCATTTCGCAGTGTCCTATTTGCGGAGGTTCAGTATGCACACCATAGCGCAGTGTCTTGTGTCAGGTTATTCACCTGTGATTCTACCGGATCTTTATTCAGCCTTTAACTGGCTGCGCATTTGGTCTTTTATCTGTTTAGCAGCTTGTTGCTCAGTAGATCTCCTATTATCGATAAGACAGCGGGAGCAACATCACTCATTATCCCTTCTGACCGTGTAATGATGCCCAGAAACACGGTTGCTGTGACTCAACCCACTTGTTCTGATGAATTTAATGTGTATTCCATGCTTTTACTAATTACCCCAACTCAACCTTTATCACAAGGAGCACTTCTTCGACGCTGGTGTAGCCGCCCAAACCGTGGACAATTATAAATGTATTACTCTTTCAATAAAATATTATGTCTTAACGTGACATATGTTTCGATTCCTACCCGACCCAATGAGCTACGTGATGTTTTTGAGTGGGTCAATGCCTGCTTCTGCAAAGCTGCTCCGCAGCTGGGCTTAAAACAAACAGCGTCGTGGTTCTTCAGTTTCATGATGACATCCGTTTCTGTTACATTTATACCGCTTTTGAGTTGGTAAGGATCCCATTTTTTCTCCTGCCTACATTTTTTCCTCGCGTGCTCCCATCAGCTTACCAAAATGTACACAAATGTTCACCTGTTGTTCGCTCTTATTGCGGGCTACATTAACTGTTATTTTCTTTATCACAACACTTGATTTCTCCAGCGCCATATCCCATTGCAATACACTTCTGAGCTGTCACCTCCTTTGAAAACTAGTGGATCATTCGCTACCGCCCATCTCGCTTGGTATAGTGACTTCGTTCGTTTTTGCCATTTGCACATGGCCGCACTCGCTAGATCTTCCTACGATGATGACACTTGATCCTACCGCGTTGCATACGGATATCAGAAATTTCACCCTGTGTACCCTCGGACATGTCAGTTACTCCTACCGCTGTCTCAATAAGTAACTGAAAAGGCGCTTCTTTTTTCACAGTCGTACTACTTATTAAGACCTGACTGGAATTTGGCGTTTTTTTACTCGCATGAACTTTGTTTTTATTTAATTATCTCGTTATTGAATGTACCGAATGTTTCACTTTTGCACCTCATCACTATCGTTTAGTTAGCTTTTTCTTTTTGCACACTGCTGCAAGGCTATGCTTGAATTGTCCACCTCAGTGTCATAAAACCATGGGCACCTTAACCTTTTAGTCATTCACCGTTCTTGGTAACTTTTCAGTCCCCCTTTTTTGACATTCATTCAGGATTTGGCTTATCATCGAATGCAAGTCGCAGAATTGAATCACCGATTAGAATTCACTCGTAAACAGATAGAGGCTCGCGATCAACTCTTAGTTGAGCACAATTTGATTCTCCTGGGTGCTACCAGTTTGGACGCAATTCCTCCATTGACATCTGAGCAGCTCTCCACATTAACACCACACGATGAACAAGTAGAATCTGGGGCTGACAACCTGAAGACACGTGATCGATTAACAAACGGCTTAACTCATACTTCACACCAAAAACAGGTGAACGGCCCTTCCGATAGGGATGACAGACCGCCAATGGCACTTATCTCAAAAAAAGCACTGGAACTTCTTGGTACTCTTTCGGAACCCACTCTCGGTTAGTTACCAATCTTCTTGTGCAGGTCGTGCATGTGATGGGAAGTGTACCGTCGCAACGAGACGAAAGCATGATTTTCTCTGTATTGTGTTCGCTTTTCTTTTTATGACAACTGTACCTTCTTTTTATTTCCGTGGTTTTTCATGGCTCTTTGTCTATTTGTAGACTGATGCAATCATTCCTTAGACACTTCAGCTGGAGGTGGAAAACACAGCTACTGTACCGCAATACGCAAAGGAAAATAATTAAAAGACGTAACAGATACATGTCAGCTGAGCTACCAGTAACAAGTGGGCATCGTTCTTGAAAGCTATCAGCCGGCTACTAGGCAACATAACACAATATAATTTTACATAATAATATTTTGTTGCCTTGATCTGTTCAAAATATAATATCATACGAGACCGGGCCTTAACTTGGTGCTACGGTTTACGTACCTCATCCACTAATTGATCTATGCTGTGTTGGACCCCCAGGTCTCTTGTGAGCTACTCATACCAGGTTGGTCATTGGTTAGAGGTCAGACAATCTCCTGGTCTTCCAGCTTGGGGGCTTGAAATGAGTTGGCGTCCATTTCCGTGAAACCGTATCGTTACCACATCCGCGGAGTTGAGGACAGGCCTTTGAGCCAAAGCTTTTGGTAGAGGACCTTAGTCGCGTTCCTGTCTAGGTCTGGGCACCCTGGCACTATCTCACCTCACGTACAACTGTGACTTCTTCAGACTTCAATCATATCTTGCATCGGCCGTTGCGCAGATTATCAAGGGTCGCCTTATCTGCTGCATACAGCAGGGCGGATAAGCGAAAACATGTTACTGCTAGCGCCTCCCTTCTTTCTTTTCCACTTGTTTCTCTTATTCACCCCCTAATCCCATTACTGACCTCCCTTCTATAATTCCCAGCTTAATTGGCAGCAACTGCAGTGCCATTGGAGTCGAACTATTTGCATCTACCTTCCCGCAACATCTCCTGAGCACCTATCGGTAGCATTTCCTTATAATGCCACACTGTCCCGTTTCCCTGGCGGCGTTCAACATTCGCACTGTAGGACAAACAGGTCAATAGGCTGCACTTGCACGCTGGGTATTGACGTGTGTTGTATGTCCGAAACTAGGACGGGGTTGTTAAACTGTGCCCGGCTTGTCCTCTCGTTATTGGTTACACAAATCTGGAGACTGATGCGGCAGCCTCTGGCCAAACTGGAGTGGACATTGTCCTCAGCTCCAAAGCTGAAGCATCCTTGGTTGATTAGATCCTGTGGATGGCCGTTTGTGTGCAGTCCATTTGATGACGTCAACTAGGGTCGATTCACGGAGTAGCACTAGACGCTGTTTGTTCTTGTTTTCTGCTTTTGCTCCCACTAACTGCATTTCTGATGCTGTCGAGGACGCCTTCTGGCACGAACTGAACAGGCTGTTTCGCAATGCTGCCAGTCCGAATATCGTTGTTTTTGCAGCGGATATGGATGTGCAAGTAGGTCCTCTGAGATCCTCAGTCGTTCAGCTAGGTCGTACGTATGGGCTCAAATCTGAACGGTCGAAAATCGGCCAGCGCCTGTTACAGCTGTGTGCGGAGCACTGGTTGTTTTTTAGTAGCACCGCTTTTAGTCACTTTAGGCGCTGTTCTGCCACTTGGCGTCCCTTTATAGCTGGCCAACGATGGGCGCAAATACATCACATTGCCATAAGGTGGCGTGATTCCATCATGCATTGTCGTTCTTTTAGAATACATGTATCGACTGTTATTATGCTTACGTATGCTGTCGTTTTTCCATAAGTTCACCGAGGTGCGTATCAAGCGCACTCCTCGATTGGCTACTGAGAATTTATCTCAGTGCTTGGTCAGGCAAACCTATTAAGATGCCCTACGTACCAAACTTTCGACTTCTCGTTTTAATATCATTGGATTTTTGTGGAATTAGATCTCGGATATGTACACGACATGGGGGGGGGGCTTGCTTGCAGCACTATCGATCGTCGTCGCACTACTCACTGGATACCCGAGAGGTCGGTAAACCTGCTATAATACGGAAGAAAACTCTCGGCTGGCTCTGAGTACTGTGTGATCAGACGGACTATTAGGCGCGAACTAAAGCGAGCCTACGTTCTGCCAAAGAAGCCTGGTGGACCAGTAAGGCTCAAAATCGGACGATGTGGAAGCAGTAGGCAGTTACCGACCGCTCTTCCAACTGATCAGCACCGAAGGTCCCAGGGTACCAGTCGTCAGTGAAGCAATCAGAGACAGCGTGGGTGCCACTGATTCACTATAAGCAGCGCCATTTGGCTCGTTGTGTTGTAAGCAGTACCGACGCTTCGCTTCCGCGCAACCACAACCATTCGCGTGTGAGCTCAGGAGACAGCGAGGTTCGCCCGGTTCCTTACGTAGACTTGAACCTGTGACCTAAGGATTAGAAGCCTTGCGTGTGATCCTTAAGGCCACAGGCCAACCGGAAGCACTGTGCATCACGGCGCGTTTTTACCCTTCTTAATCTCATCAAGTGGAGATAGCAGACCTCCAATCCTGGACCATTGGAATACTAACCGAAACCACTGCTCCTTTGGATCCCGACGGGCAACGCTTGGCACACTGGGTAATGACTTATTTGAGATTCGTTTAGAAGCACTCCTTGTGTTACTGGATTAGAGGCACAATTCCATTAAAGTGAATTCTTTTTCTATAGTATGGAATTGGTTGGCGGAGAAGCGTTAAGTCTCTAGGTGGTGTCTCGAGAATACGATACGATTTTCCATCTAGCCTTGTTTTGTATTAGCAACCGCAAAGGCTGAATCTAAGGCACAAAATGAAAAACGTTTCAGAGTCATTTCGCCTTGAAAATCACTGGGATCTCCATTGCAGCTTACACATAATTTGTGACCAGTACCTAATTGATCTTATACCTCATCAGTATGTCGAACGATTTTGCACGTCGACCTTGACCGCTTTTCTTGGTCTTACGAGAAAACTTCCCTCAACTAACTGCGAACTGACGTTTACCGAATGAAATGACAGTTTCGGAATTTGTAGCTGTTTCTTCTCTACTGACTCATATTTAGTCCTAATTACTTGTGGGTTTTTGTTCCTATGTCAGGTCTGCGACATATTCTGTCCAGATGCATGTTTATTTATTGCGATTGAGCGTTTTGCGAGCACCCTATTTCTCCCCTACCTCCATGACGTTCCAGTGCTATCTTGTTCAATATTTGCAGCTAGACAAATCCATTCCCGCACCGTTTCTCACTATTCTGCTATGGCATCCTTACGTTTTCTCAACCATTTTCTTTATCACGACAGTCCATTTATTCCGGAATCATTTTCCGTCTGCTACCGGTTTACTCACACGCTCTGTCGCCTGATTTGGTTTGTCTTACTTCAGATTCCCAAATTATTTATTTGTTCACCAACCGCAAGGAGTTGCTTTCACGTATTGAAACACTGGAGGCGGATCTGGAAGAATACAGGAAATCGTCCGAGATTTCTAATCGATATGATTCCCGCACTCGACATAATGGTCCGGATCAGTCCGACTTGAAGCAAGAACTACAAAGTAAGTCATCCATCTTAGATCAAGTCACAGTATATGTCCGAAATCGCATCTTATGACGTCTGTTGTACTTGTCTTGAGGTATAAACTGATTAATTCTGTCTTTTGTCGTGCTTTTAATGGGACATTTGTTTTCAAGTTTGTTTTTTTTGCATCGAACTATCATTTGGCCGCACCCCTTCATGTGCATTGGATTTTATCCACTATCGACTCCTTGCCATTGCAATCTTCCCTTCGTCTCTCGTCTTACGTCTTCTGTGTCGGTGGTTTCTGACATCCCACTTACTTTTCTTGACATTTAGTCCATACAAAAATATCAGAGCTTCATTCGTGTCTGCTAATGCTGCACCGCACTTCTTGTTTCCATTCTCGTGACATTAAATTTTCGTGCACCCGAAGTTATTCATTCTTTCCAGCTGCGTCCAACTGACTGTCAAGATACACTTTTTCTCATATTAAGCGTGACACAATAAACTCGGGTGATGCTTGCTGGGTTTCACCAATTCCCAGTTTCTAGTGCGTATTTTGCGCACCACATGTTATCGCACGAATTCAGTGCAGCATATTTTTATAGGAATTCATCCCTTCACATTTGTTCAGTTAGTAGCACCGTCCTACTTTGTTACTCCAACTGTTATTTGCACTTTTGCATGCCCCTAATGCGACAATCCTCCATTCATCAGTTTCTTCCCCCTGTTCAGTTGCCCATGCTTTTCCTACGTTGGAAACGAGCCGTTGATGTGTCATAGTGACGTTTTTCATGCGACAATGCATGGTAATATTTGTTGGAAGTGAGGTTATGGGTAGTAGTCTCAATTTATTTATGCGTTCGTTAATCATACCTAACTAAACTCAAAGGCGTTTACTATTCATATGTTTGCTCAGACACCCGGCTCTCAGTTACAGTCGGTGACCCAAGGGAGAGGATGTCTGGCCTGTAGTCCAAAGGTCACTGGTTAGAATCTGCGTAGCCCATTACCAAGATCATCCTGTCATGCAATCAGGCTTTGACCCAAATGCTTTAGTTAAGAACCTTAATCATTTCTCTGTGTAGGCCTAGGAAATCTGACAGTATCCTGCCCACGCAATACGATGATTTTCTCTTCAAACCTTTTCTTGATGCTCTGGCGTCCTCTCTGCGGCACGGAACCGAGATAGGGATGAGGATGCTATTGTTCATGCCTTCCCATTACGCTTTTTCACTGTTATCGCACCCTTCCAAGTTCTCTTTTCTTGCCGAATTCCCGACTCTCCCCCATCTGCTAGTTTCAACTAGCACGCAGTCAGCGCGTCAGTCCAGTTCAATTGACAAGCTCATGTTCAACTAAGCAGACAACGTCAGTCTGTACGTTTCTATATGCAGATCTCAAAACTCACCGAGACTGACATACCTGAAGGTGGGCACTTTGTTACCGATTGACCAACAGATAACACTTGCCCGAGCACCAGGGACCATCCAATCGAATTCTGTTGTTTATGAAAAACTCCGCCGGCAAGACTCTAGTCCTGTGAATACCCCACGATCCAAACATGTGATGCTGGTGGCGCTTTCGTATGACACCTGTCTGAAGATTATTCAGCTTCAAATATTATTGAAGCCGGTGTTGGTATTTAACTGAGTCCTCGGGGTGATGCTGTTTTGATCGGTTGGATTCCAATTAACTGTCGGATGTGCGCCGTCAGAATGGCCGGCTCGTTCAAAGCTTCGATTTCACCCGGGGACAACTGGTGACTGTTTGTTATTGCTGCTTGCGCCCCCATCAAACTAGGTAGCAATTTGTGAAGGATGATTTCTATCACCAACTGAACGATGTCCTTCATCGCCGCAAAAAATATGGACACTGGTTAATAATCTGAACGCTCCAGTTGGAATACTGTGCACTGATAAACTACAGCAGGGCGGCCAACAGCGTTGGCTCCAGTAATGATAACAGTGAGCAGCTACTAAAACTGTGTGAAAATGCTCGTTTATTTCTCGACAGCGCTGATTTCCGACCTTGAACCCGCAGAAGAGTGACCTGGCGCCCACGAGCATAGGACGCAAATTGATCACATCGCGATCCCTTACTGTGGGATAAGTTGTGTTAAAAACTGCTACACAATATGGAGCGCAAGCTTGGAGTCCGACCACGCACTTGTACTTGCCGATCTCCGAGTTCGCTTTGTTGGGTGCCCACGGCGACGCTATGAGCGGATAGACATCTACCAACTGACAAAACCCTGTGTTTGGAATGCATATCAAACTGCCCTGGCTTGCGGGTTGATTAAGTTCTCACTGAACACAGTTGTCACTGTGTCGACCAGACCTTATTAGCGGTAGCCATGTATTCATGTTAACATTTGATTTTAAACCTGAACATTGGGTCTCTACGCAGTCTCTAAAAGTCCTCGATGCGCGGCGACACATTCCGGCTAGATGCGAACACTGCGAGATTCACAAAGGCATCAGAACGAAACTGCGTGCTAGACTGATGAGGCTCCGCAAACCTTGATGGTCTGATCTTGCTTCCGGGATGGAAGTGGCTGCTACTTTTGGTCACTATCGTAGGTTAATCAGTCTGATACTTGTAACTAGCAGCAGACCTGGTATTAGGGAAACTGTATGCGACCAGATCGGACAACCTGTTCAAAGTCAATCAGAACGATTGTAGCGTTGGGCTGACCACTTTACCTTAAGCGAGAGTTGATAGCTTCCTTATCAGTCGATGATCCCCCTTCTTCCTGAGCCATCCTTTTGAATCCACCTTCACGCGCGGAAGTCGAGCGTAAAGATCAGAATGTTGAAATTGAATAAACCCGCATAACTGAATGAACATCCTCCAGCTCTCTTCAAATTCGGTTGATTGGCTCTTTTAAGTGATTTGCATAACTTACTGGTGAAACTGTGGCAGCAGGAGTCTGTCCCAACAGACTGGAGCCACTGCATTATAGGCCCAGTTTTCAAGGTGGCTCACTTTCGGAATGTGGCAGACATAGAAGGATCAGTCTGATCTCAATTGCTCCTAAGTTGCTCACGTATATCTTTCTCCATAGATTGAAATGCACTTGATAAAGCTAGATTCGTGAGGAGTAATCCGATTTTCGTCGATGCTGCGGCTGTATTAATCACTCTTCGCATTATGTCAATAGTTGGAGCACTACCGCTTTTACATGCTACCCACCGTAATCGTTTTCCTCGACATTAAAGGTGCCTTCGATTCGGTGGAATGATGTAACCTTTGGAACTCTGTCCAGGAAAGATGTTCCAGAGAAATACGTAAACATTATTAGAGCTTTTTCAATCGCAGCGATGTGAGACAGGGTTGCCCATTGTCACCTTGCCTTTTTAACATCGCTCCGACGAAGTCATGGAAACTACGTTAGTTGTACACTGCATGAAAAGCTTGTGACTGTTTTCGTATGGTCGAATTCTTGACTTGAACTACGATGACGATATTGCCCTAATCTGATACAGCTCTCAGGCGTGACAAGCAGTACTGCACAGCTTAGCATTGGCTGTCGCTCGTTTTAGGGCTGTGTTTTGCACTCTCGTTTTGCAATGTCCTTCAAGTTTCGCAGGGACTCACCTCTGCGCTGACGATCGGCGGTGATCAGTTAAAAGTCGTTCCGCATTTTGACTACTTAGCAATATAATTGCCAATGAAAATTAAGTTGTGGTCACTAACTGTATAGCAAAAGCTATAAGCGTTTTTGTCACTTCGCCATCTGTGGCTCCGTCGCCAAATCACTCTCGTCTTGGAAGACAAAGTGTAAGACTTGGCCGTGCGTTCAACCTTGCTGTGCGATTGTGAAACCTGGCTGCTCAGATCGACAGACGTATGAAGCTAGTTACGTTCGATCATCGCTGCCTTCGCAGCTTTGCTTATGTCTGATGGCAACACCGCGTGAGCCATGAGCGTGTTGGACGTTGTGTATTTAGTGCAGAAAGAGCTTGTGAACCGCTCAACACTCACAAGCCTCCGATGGCTGAGCCATGTGTTGGGCATAACAGCACACCGATTCTTGCGATATGCGTTGTTTGCGTGCCTTGGCTTTGCGTGGAGGAGAGGTAGGCCCACCGTTATGAAAAGGGTGAATGCTCTCACTTCGAATTTGGCGTCGTTTGGTACCTCTCAAATGTCAGGGCGGACTTCCGTCCTTCTTTATTATCACCGGTGGTGTGAGACAAGGCTGCCCAACATCACCCTTCCTGTTCGATCTCGCTATTTACGACATCCTGCAGAGTGCTATGGTCGACTATGAATTCATCGACTGAGCTGCTTTCGGGGAAAGACCTGGCGACTTAGAATATGCAGATGACAGCGCCGTAATTTGCGATTCCTTCCGTGTTGCCCAAAATGTCTGTAGTTTTGGAATTACCTTCAGTCCATCGAAGTGCAAGCTTTTCCTATATGCCTGAGAGAAGCTGCTCTTTATCCTACCCTTTCAGATCATTTTCTGAAAGTGGTAGACATGTTCGTTTACCTCGGTAGCTGCACCAACGCTAAAGGTTTAACGTACCAGGGTTGCTTTCGCTAACCTACACCATCTCTGGTGTCGGTTCCACCTGAGTCTCTCTTTGGAGGGCCCAATCTACAATGCCACGGTAAGAGCAGTCCTGCTCTACGGTTGCGAGATTTGGCCTGCTCGTGCGAAGGACATTCAGAGGCTGTCTTTTATCACCGCTGCGTTCGGAGCATTGCTAACAACTTCACATTAGCAATGACGATGTGTGTCGAAGGATTTTCAAATCAGACAGACTTTCCCGGCCACTATGCCGCACAATTTCTCTGCACAAGCTTCAGTGGCTTGAGCACGTTCTTCTTATGCCCACTGAGCGTTGACCTCGCCGTGCACTCCTCGTGCCTGCGGAAGTCGGCTGGAAGCGTAGACAAAGTGACCAACGAATGAAGGCGCTGACCTTAAATTTGGCCGCGACTGGGCGCTTTCGGCTCCCTGGTTGGGGGCGCAGAAACCACGAGCACACATGGCTGGAAATCCACTCAGACATGGCAAGAAACTAT